CTGGTGAGCCTAAGAGACTTCTTAAAAATATTACCTACCCCAAACGTTTGAACAGTTTTAATACTAATATATTTGTTTATAATATAAAATCACGCATTCTATTTTAACATTTTACAATTCGTGCTAAAACACGAATGAATCTGACATCTATGTTTTAAATGAATACATACATATTTGTAATAATATAATAATTCTATTATACATACAATTAGTAACTAATAATTTTCTAATGTTCTATGCAATATAATAATTGTAATATGTTCATATTACCCCGTGAATGGCACAGTCCCGTCACTGTTAATTGGTTGTTCAGGAACACATTGCGTAAAGTCAAATGTCATAACTGGCCGTGGTTTGGTCAGAGCACGACATGGGTATTCCCACAGTGGATGTGGCTCTGCCTCCCAGGATTCACGGTAATCCAAAGATTGCTGTGGGTGGAGTTCATCACCAAAGCATATTAATCAAGTGCATTCAAATTTCACGCAATCTACTTATTCAAAACACGTGTTCAGACCAAAACCTGTAACCAATACTCACCTGAATCATCTCATCCATTGGACTGACATCAAAGCCTTCGCAAGTACCACAAGGAGCTCGGATTCGCCACAGATCCTGATTCAAAATTCAGAAATGTTTAATACAGAAGTCAGCCAGTCTATTAATGTATACTACAAAATGCATATCCGACAAGTATCCAAAAAAATTATTTACCCGAAATTCAACAGCGACTATGTAAAGTGTGGCAGCACGGGGCAGGATGGTGGCATTGGGATGGAGCAGCTGTGCCACAGCGGTGCGGCAGTACCAGAAAAACAGAGAGTGCCACGGCAGAAGACTGGTGCTGAAGTATGGCTCTCCCATCAACACTGAAATCTGAAGAGTTTCATTTCTTATTGATAACATTTCGAATTATTATCAACGTTGAAAACAGTTGTGCTGCTTAATATTCTTGTGGAAACTGTGATACATTTTTCAGAATTATTTGATTATTAGAAAGTTCAAAACAACAGCATTTATTTGAAATAGAAATACTTATTAACATTATAAATGTTTTTACTGTCACTTTAGACCATTTTAATGCATTGCATCCTTTGCATTAATAAAACTTAAAAAGAAAAATCTTACTGACCCCAAACTTTTGAATGGTAATGTACCTTAATACATCCTTGCTGAATAAAAGTTAAATAAATAAATTAGTGCTGTCAAACGATTAATCGCGATTAATCGCATCCCAAATTAAAGTTTTTGTTTACATAATATACGTGTGTGTACTGTGTATATTTATTATGCATATATAAATACACACACATGCATGTATTTAAGAAAATATTTATATTGGTATATTAAATATATAATATAAATTATATAAATATATACATGTAAATATTTTCAAAATATATACTGTATGTGTGTGTATTTATATATACATAATAAAAATACACAGTACACACACATATATTACATAAACAAAAACTTTTTTTTTTGTTTTGGATGCAATTAATCGCAATTAATCTTTTGACAGCACTAAAATAAATACAAAATCGTACTGACCCTAAACTTCTGAATGGTAGTGTATTTGTTGTTGTGATAAATTCAGATTCTGCAGAGTCTCTGAAACTCTACAAATGCTTTAGAGTACATATATAGAGGGCATCACGGTCTATACACATTCGGTTTAGTTTGTACCTGATTTCCTTCTAAGTCAGCTAATGAGAGCTGCTCAGGTCGTATTTCCAGCAACTGTACTCCATGTTTCAGTGAGTTAGCATGCAGCACCTGTGAGCAGGAAATAACAACTTTCATTACCAATCAATCCTGTCTGAACTCATGTAGGTAAATATTTCTTAGATTCAAAATCTCACCTGTTCGATCACTTGTTTCGCCATTCCAGAGTTTTCCAAACTGAACACCTGAAAAGACAGAGACAGAAAGATCTACAGTATGTTCTGTTCGAAAACCTAGTGAACTGCCTACCTAGACAGTATTTTACTTAATCGTATTGCCTCCTAGCATACCTTATTTTGGCTAAATTGTAAGGTAACACAGCATTTATCCTTCACAGAAAAAAACAACAAATCAAAGACAATGGATAAGGCAAGAAAAATGTCAATTATTCATTCAATACTTAGAAGTATTGATATAAATAGTTTAGTTTAATTCAAAACAGATTATTTACCCAATATTGCACTATCAGTTCAGCAATATGCTAACATCAAACTCTATTGAAATCAATTTGAAGTAGTGTAGTGCACAAGTTGCTTATAATTTATTTAAAATGTACTATTTACTTGCTAAAAATAGTTTATTTTCGTTCAAAACCCAACACTGCATTGTTAGCTTAGCAACATGCTAACATCAAACTCTACTGAAGTCAACTGAAAGTTGTGTGGTGCTTATAATTTACTTAAAATGTATAATTTACTCAAAACAGATTATTTACCCAACATTGCATTAATAGCTTAGCAACATGCTATCATCAAACGCAACTGAAATCAAGTCATCTAGTGCACAGAGTTGCATATAACTTACTTAAAAGTTCCCATGAAGCTTAGGATGCTGCCTCAGAAGGCAGCTTTCTGTGTAGGGAGAAAGGAGCTCGCTAATTTGAGAACCTTCCGACTCATGCAAAAAAAAAAAAAAAAAAAGGCCTACTCCCCTTTTTAGATCCAAGCAGATGAGCAAAAATGGGTAACAGGCTCCCATCACTGACAGACAAACATACACTGTCTGGTTTCAGAATCTGCAAGCATACAGAAAACACACTAAATTTTGAGTCATTTCCAGTCAACAGAAAGCGGCGCTTCAAGCTCACATGTAAATCATTAGTTGGCTTACACTACGTAATGCGTTCACGTAACTCTCTGTCCTCTGTTCGTCGTTCAGTTCCCCGAAGCGAGGCCTCGTCCAGACCAGGTGGGCCTGACAGGTGCAGCATGGTCGAAACTTTGCCACTTTGACATCATTTTGTTCACTATAAAACAGATTTTAAAAAAACTGTATATATAATACAGTCTTCCTCAGAGACCGTGTATGTTCTGTCTCAGTTAAAGCTGAGAACTTGTTATCATGCCTAAACAAACACTGCTCAAAATCACCTTACCTCTGCGTAAGACTGTACCAGAGACTGTAGTCATCATGGGAGACAATTAAATTAAGCTCTTCTCCTTCGGACACATTCTCCTCTGCAGGAAGGAAGTAGACACTCTGCATCCAGTGATCCCTCCACTGCACATCACATGATGAAAAATAATCAAATATGCCAAGTCAAAGATAGTTTAGTCATACAATGTTACTATTAGAGGGACCTCTAGCAAAGACATTCACCCCAAAATGTTTAGATTGTTTAATATTGTCATTGTATAAATCATTAGAATGAATAAAAATAGACCCTTTTTTAGTATTTTTTTTTTTTGCATTCAAAAATTAAACTAATAAAAAACTAATGTCAAGAAAGAACAATAATATTTATTCTTTGTTTTGCCAAAAAAAAAAAAAAAAAAAAG